TTTTTTTAATTTTTGGATACATTGCTAGTCATTTATTTTGTGGTTTCTGGGTTGGAGGTTATTTAGAGGAAACAAATGTGTTCAACACATCTACTGATTGGAGGGGCTACTTATCTTAATGGCCTTCCTAGTGCCCTTCCAGAGTCAGAATATCCTTACTGATGAAGCTTAAAAGAAATGTTTACTGCAAGGGAAGGGGCTATTACATTTTTGATTGTTAACAAACTAAATTTTGAATTGAAATTTCTAGTATTTGATTAACAGTGGATCCTGATTACCAGCAGACTAACTCTTGCACCCTGTCTATCAACCTCCAGTGCATCAAAGTCAAACTACACTCCATAGGGCATTCAAGGGCTGGTCTTTGTATAAAGTAGATCACCAGGCCTTTCCTCCTAGGTGTCTTTGAACATCCTCAGACTGTCAAGCTTTCTTTCAGGCAGCAAGTGTGCTAAACTTCATTTATATTCAGACAGATTAAGTCTTGAGGACCCAGAATATAAATGGGTGATGGATCCCATAAGCAATAAAAAAAGTCCGAACACTGAGAGACTATGGAAACATCATTTGGGCCTGACCCCTTCCAAAGCTTTCAGTTCCCCTCCAAAAAAGTATGCAGTCACCAAACACAATCAAGGGCCCATGGGCTAGAAGCTGGTGTGTATGTAGGAAGGGTTGGGGGACAAGCGGGGGATGGTGTCCAGTGACAGGAAATTTAGCATAGGCTCCTAGACTGTTGGGAATCAGCACTGCTATTGTCCCCAAGTTCCCCAGGTCTTGTATGGGTTGTTTTTCTGTTTGCAAGAACATAATCAACATGTTAATGTTTTTCACTACATAATTTTTCTTCAGCAAGGTCAGAAGTCAGCAAATGTGTGGACATTAATAATGAAACAAGTTAACAGGCAACAAGGAATTGTCATTATTTTCAGGATTGTTTCTACTCTTTTACCAGTATAACTCATGTTGCAATTGCACGTGATGTTGCATCCCCAGTTTACAGATATGGAAACTGAGGCACGAGGCAGTTAATTGATTTGACATGACGCTGATGGCAAAGCAGCCCGGATTAGAACTTGGATTTGCCCGACTACAGAACTTCCGGTCTTGATCACCAAGATAAAATGCAACGGATTATGTAGCAGCTATTATCTTATAGGAAGTCAAATTCATAGCAGTTTCATAGAATCGTGCTTTCTTGATGCCCACAAGTCATCGTGACCCTACTGACTGAGAAGAACTCCACCCATAGGGTTTTCAAGGTGATTCTCTTTGAAGCGCTGGTTGGCCTCAAACCACAAGCCTTTGGGTTAGGAGCTGAGTGTCTTAACCATTGTGCCACTAAGGCTCCTCATAATCAGTTTCCTTTATGAGGTAGTGAGCAAGGGGAACTAAAGAATCTTGGAAGAAACTGGGAGGTGAGTTTGGATGCCTGACTTGGGAGCACAGGCACCTCTTTAAAGCTCACAATGGAAAAGTGGGTGGGTGAAGGGAGACATCGGGCAGTGTAGGGCATGACAAAATAATAATAATTTATAAATTATTAAGGGTTCATGAGGTGGGATGGGGTGGAAGGGGGAAAAGTGAGGAGCTGATACCAAGGGCTCAAGTGGAAGGCAAATGTTTTGAGAATGATGATGGCAACAAATGTCCAAATGTGTCTGACACAATGGATGGATGGATTGTGATAAGAGTTGTACGCGCCCCCAATAAAATGATTTTAAAAATAAAATAAAACTGTCATAATGAGGGTTGTCACGATGGCTAGCCTGAATGTATGGAATACTTGAGCTGCATATAACTGTAGCCATTTTATTGTCATTTTCATGATATATGCAGATGTAAGCTTTCTAGTTTACTAAACAGACCGCCTAAAGCAGTGTTCCTTGATCAGGACGTGGAGGCCCTGCATTGCACCAGCAGTACTTGGAAGATCTGCGCATTCTCAAGTTAAAGTATTCCTTGCATTGTGAACACACAGGCATTCCCCCTGATGGCTAAGCAAAAGTAAGAGGACAGGAAATGATACCTACTTAAGAGTATTAGCTCTCTTACACAACAGCAACACACACTGCTCACAGCCATGAAAAGGAAGCCAAGCAAGTTGGGGAGAAAAATCACCAGAGGAAACATGTCCCCCACAAAGTAACTGTTCTGCATGTAGAGAGGTGCCAAGGCTAATGCCCGGGACACTGCACAGAGTGCTCCATGACTCACCCAGGAGGGTCAGGTTATGTGTAGCCCTTTGCCTGGAAGATGTATACCACACTTCCCCACTGGAAATCATTGCTGGAGATTCTGAGATAGTACAATAGGAAGCAAAGTCCAGACATACATAGGTACAGGCAGTCCCTGGATTACAAATGAGTTCTGTTCCCTAAGTCTTGTTTCTAAATTGAATTCGTAGGTAAGACTGAACAATTAGGTATGGTTTGTATCTAATGTCAGTTAGTCAAATGTTTGTTTGAGTATATAGTACATGGAGTATCTTCCATGCATAACATCTTAAAAGAAATATTTCCAGATATATTACTTCTTCAGCATAACAAATATGGTAATGATGATAATGCTTTGAATTGCAAAGTAGCACCCAATTGCTATTATAGATCATTGTATGTACCTTGAATTTTTAATATAATAAGCTTTACTGGGTTGGTTCATAACCATAAGTTGTAGTGTTAAATGGGACATTTGTAACCCAGGAACTGCCTGCACTACTTAAAAGAAATGCCAACTTCCTAATGATTTCTTATACTTACTTTTACATCCCCTGCTTTTGGGGTACAAAGCAGAATCTTCTGCTATCAAGTCACATATTTATAAACACGGACATGGCTGGTCTGAGTTCCGTAGATAAGGTGTCAAGTTGGAGGCTTTCTTGACTCACCTAGCTATTCAGACCCATGAACCCAGGATCAGCCGGTCAGATGCAGGCTGCTGATGGCTCCCAAGGTTGGAAGGTAGTATGGCAGGTTGATGGCTGAAGTCCAAAGAACCAGAGGTCAACAGGCCAGATGAAGGATCCACAGCCAGGAAAACGCAAACAGGTGGTCCCACAGTATCCACTTATATAGGAAATGGGTGAAACCCTGCCCCCTTCCCCCACCCCCCCTCCCCCAAGAAAACTTCCTTTCCATTCTATCAGGGCTGTGAGCTGAGTTAGGGGGTTGTGTGAAACCCTGCTCTTCTTAAAAAGGATTAACTGTTTACAGCAGATCCCATTATGGAGTTGATTACACTGTTAGGTTTCACCATGGAGAACTCCCAGACCTTAATTGCCAAACCACTGAGAATCCTGGCCTAGCCAAGATGCCCCAAATAAACAAACACCATCCAAGCACCCAGGACTCCACGATGGCATCTGTCGTACTACTGAAGAAGAAAATAAAAAGCCAAACTCACTGCCCTCCAGCCAATTATAACTCATGGTGACCCCACAGGACCGAGTAGAATGGCCCCTAGGGGTTTCCGAAATTGTAATTGTCTATGGAAATAGTCCCATCTTTCTCCTGCTTGCCACCGAACCCATAACTACTTTGCCACCAGAAACGTTTGCATATCAAATAGGAGAGTTGCCCACCTGGGTCCTGATGCAGGACTTCACCTGAAAAGACATTGCTGGAGCAGGGTCACAAACAGGTATTTCCACAGTGCTCAGAGCTGACTGCTAGGTGTTCAGTTACTGCCGCGCTGACAAGGAGCTCAAACAGGCACAGGTACTGCAGAACCACTGAGTAAGCCAGGGGAGGGGGCACCATCTGCATTCCTGGCCCAGCCAGCTTCCCCTTTTCCCTGCCTCACCTGAGGCACAATTCTTTCCTAACCCGAGAATGTGTGCCCAATAAAAGATGACAGGTCAAAAATTAAACAAAAATAAAAATCAAAAACCCACCAAACGAATGGCGTCATCAATCTGTCTCGGTATGCAAAGAAGCAGCCCCCTTCATGGGCGGTGCCAAGCTGTGGCCTTTCAAAAGCACATCGCCAGGTCTGTCCTCTGGGCGGGTTTCAGCTTTCAGTTTGTCGTCTCACACAGGAACCACGGAGATGAAATAAAGAACCAATCCAATATTTTCTCAATGGAAGGAAAGGGACTAAGACATCTGAAACATCAACATTCTTATCTTCAGTGCATTTCCTTGTTAGAGACTGTCTGGCTTCAAAAGAAAATCCTAGATAAAGCCTCTCTGGAATGCTGAGTGTAAGTGAACCTGTCTCGCTTTCCTCAGGTGACAGGAAACAGAAACCCCGGAAAGCTGACACAGACCCTAGTTTTTCAAGATTCGTGTGACTGGGACCAAGGTTTGAATTTCACAATAGCTCATGTTTTTCTTCCGTTTGGATCCTTGTGGCAAGGTAGGAGAGTGTCACTTTGTAGGAAAGCTTCTGGTCACTCCCTAGATAGGACTTGGATGTGGTCTGGCCCCACTGCTGCCCTGCTACCACTTAGTCACGGTCTAATCTAGCCTGCCTCCCCCACAGTGCAGTGGGAGAATCATTAACCTGCATCCAGTTAGACCCTGCAGCTCCTTGTGCCATGTAGTCTGTGGTGGCTGAAGAGGCAGTTCCACTGGCAGCGCTGGCATCTCCAGCACCCAGGGCCTGCCCATGTGGTATTTTAACTGGGGCTCATATATGACCTTCTTTAAGGAGTCTAAATGGCACAGTGGATTAATTGGGCAGCTAACCGCAAGGTCAGCGGGTTCAAACCCATGAACCACTCTACTAGAGACATGAGATTGTCTGCTCCCTTCAAGGTTTACAGTTTCAGAAACCCCAAGGTTACTGAACCCTGTTTTACAGGGTTGTTATCAGTCAGAGCAGACTCTCAGGCAATGGGGTTGGTCGTCTTTGTTCACAGGCCTGCATTTCTATAGGCAATTCTGTAGGTCTTTTGAGTCTTCCAGTTCATAAATGTCTCTTTTAAGTAGCAGTCAAGAGCCCTCAGGGGCAATTTTGTATACCCCATCCAAATACCCTTTACTTTTCTTTTTTTAAAACAGGGGAGAGCACGAACACAGTCCCCCACTACCACAAATTTTACAGTCAAGTTTACCACATTGGGGGAAATCGCAGGGGTCAGCACATCCCAATGGGTGAGCCTCGCCCTGGGAAAACCACCTTCGTGATCATGGTAGCTCCCCTGCCAGGTAAGTACACCCTTTACTTTAAAGTCACACTATTTTCAACACATCTTCTCAAAGCAATTAAATTCTGTTCCGGAGTTTAGTTGAACTGCGTTAGAAACCCTCTATCACTCTGAGGGCTTTGCTGGGTCCTCTGACTGACTCTTCAATGCGCTGCAAGACTACATTTGAAGCCTTTCCCAAAGGCCCCTTCCCCACTTGCTGAAAATCGGTTTAGTTATTTTCACATGGTATGTCCACAAATGTCATTGTACTCAACAGAGATTACTCCAAGAGGATTAAAGGTCATGCTAACTCAGTTGGGTCTGGGAAATCTCAAATGCCCCCAATCTTGGGGAAGTTCCTGCAACTGGAATGTTGCTTCCAACAGCCAGGCAAACATTTAGTCAAATGCCTAAGAACGCTCTCTTTTCTTTCTATTGGGTTTATCTGCTCTTTAACAACGAGGCAAGAGCTTCTCCGGTGCAAGGTTGGGAAGACTCGAAGCACTCGTGCTCACACATACACACAGAGAAACAAGGGCATTGCTTCGGTGAAGTTCCAGCTCAGAGGTGACCTGATACACTCAGATAACTCAACAGTACACTGAGGTCTCTGCACATACAGGAAGGCTGTGGTTCTACGGACAAGAACCTTTTCTCACAGAGCGCTTTTCTTGGGTGCCTGGCCAATGAGCCGGGAAGGTGAGATTGGAGACAGGATCACCAGGAACAGTGCTGCATATAGTTGCTTTAAAAATTCATCTTTAGATGTATCCACTCTGTGCCCTGTACTTTTCAGATGTCACCTGGCTATCTCTATTTCTCAAGCCGTTGAGATGGGCATAACCCACCTAACACACTGTCAATGAGTGCATTCTGACTCCTAGTGTGCCTATTGAGTTTGAGTCTATACATCTTTATGGAAATTGATACAACTTTCTCCCTTGCAGCAGCTGGAGGCGGGTGTTAGTCGTCCCAGGTTTACCTACTGTTTAGTTATCTTCCCGCTTTATTTTTCTCCATATATTTTCTAATGTAACTATATCGTTTTGGGATCAATGTATTGCCTCTTCTCCCTAGAATGCAATTTCCAGGAAGGGCAGGGATTCTTGTTTGATTCAAGGTACTGACCTGATTATCTAAAAGAAGGAAAAAACAGAGGGAGAAAGGGAGGAAGTGGGGAAGCCAGGCTCAGAGAGGCGAGATGACTTTGTCTCGGTCAGAATATGAGTGCGGGAAGGCTTGAGCGGCCCTATGCGTCAAGCTGATTCACTGGGTAAGCACTGGGAACTGTGATGTTGGAATCCTAAGGCATAGTCTAAGGGAACACTCGCACTGAGGGCTTGGGTGGTAAGAAAAAGTATGGGCAAAGGAAATGAAAATTCAAACCCAACTCTCAGGCACGGAGTCAATGCTGACTCATAGTGACCCCCTTTGGGTTTCTGAGACTGGAACTCTTTACAGGAGTAGAAAGCCCAGCTGCTGGTGATTTCGAACTACTGACCATGTGGATCACAGACCAAGGTAACCAGTACACCACCACCAGCGTTCCTGAACCCACGTCTAAGGAGCAGGGAACTAAGCTTGATTTTTGGTCATCCTGGACATCTGTGGAGAGGATGGGGCAGGCTCTGCGAGGCAGGAAAAGCCCAGTGGTCAAGAAAGGAAATCCTTCAAATGTAGGCCAACAATAGGCCTCAGTGCTAAGTATGGTGGTCCCTGTGCCTGCAAAGGGTTTATGTGTTAATCCTCAACTAGGACTGAAAATGGTCGGGCTTCAAATCCCGACGACACCTTTTGCTGTTATGTGGCCTGGGGCAAATTCCTTCATTTCCGTAAATGGGGATGTAAGTGGGTGGTTGAAGGACCCAATGATACATGTAAGCACACAAAGCAAGGCAATGCCTGACCATAGATGTCCACACACGATTCCTGTAAGCCAGTGTGGAATGACAGCAGCACTCTGTGCTAGAGAAAAGGGAGACTTAGAAAGGGAGTTGGGCACATTCTTTTAAAAGTGCAAAAGGATTTTCGAGCTGGTCCAGGGCAGCCCAGGTGATGCAAATGGCTAAGCACTCAACTACTCATGCCAAGGTGGTCAGCTCCTCTCCACCCGGCAGCACCCGGGGAGAAAAGCCCAGCGCTGTGCTTCCAAAATGTTAGTCCTGACCACTCTGAGGAGCACCGTTCCGCTCTCTCACACACAGGGCCACCAAGTGTCAGAATCTATCTACTGGAGAGCAACCGGCTTTTTTCCTTGTTGTTGTTAGGGCAGTACCTGCTTCCTTGCTTGACAGCTGAATTGGAACGAATTAAACTGGTTGGGGCGGTTGTGGGGAAGTGGGCCGCCTTGCTGTATATAAGAAAGTTCCAGGCTGCCTTTAGGCAGGCTTCAAAGGCCGGCTTTGGGATGGAAAGAAAGGTCCAGAAGAATCCCGGCAACCTAGGATCCCAATTCTGCATCATAAAATATGAACAGAGTTACAGCACACCTCCACCATATGAGGACCCTCAGGTGCCCACGGGATGGTCACCGAGGCCCCTTGGAAGATGATGATGTTATCTTCATTAGGTTGGAGTGCAAGACGGAGCCTTAGAACAGCCAGGTGCTTTCACCAATGCGGTTACACATTGAGGCAGAGGTGGGGGCAGAATTCGAACGCAGGCCACCCCACTCGAGGGGGGGAAGGGTTGGTGCTGGCACGGCAACGCCCTCCAGAAGCCACATACATGCTCATAGCTGTGGCCTTTCATGCGAGAGAGAAACCCGGGGGGGATGGTGTTTCGTCTTCCAGCTTGGCGATGTGCTGGCATTCTATCGCTTCCAAATCTTTGCTGGGGATCAGGGGACCACACTGAAAAAAGGAGTCCAAACCCACTTCCCTGCCTGTCCGTTCTGGAGATCCTGGATCAGGACGTTGTGCCGGTCTCAATGCCGAGGCAGGGCATCCTGTCTCTCCCCATCCGCCCCAGAGTCCCCGAGACTGCAGTGTCTCGGGCTGGGAACGTCTTTAACAGGTAGGGGGCGGATCGGGGGTGTCAAAAACCAGCGCTGCCCAAACAAGGCGCGACGAGAGGCGCTTGGCACCCCCCCCCCAACCCCCACACCGATCAGCACATGCTCGCAGGGAGGGCTGCCTGCGCCTCGCAGCCGCCAACCTGCTCGCGAACAGTGAAGAGCCGGGTGATTAAACATGCAACGTGCTGCAGAGACTGGTGCAGGCCGACCCCGAGGGGAGACTCGGCGCTCTCAGGCGCCCGCCCCCGCGGCGCCCCTAGCCCCCGCCCCCACCGCTTCCGCCGCCCGGGCCGCGGCGCGACGTGGCGCGGCCGCGCTCCCAGCCCGCAGGGTCCGGTAGGGGCCTGGGCCGGATTCGGGCCTGCGCTTTCCGGCCGCGCACACAGGTGGTTTTCCGCTCGGGCGGGACGGGCCCGGACACTTTTATAGAACAATAGCGCTCGGCGCGCCCGGAACGCGCCGCTCCGCCGCCGAGGCCCCCGCCCGGCCCCGCCCCCATCCGGCCGCTGCCCGCGCCGCGCCTCCGCTTGAGCGCCGGATCCCAAGTGACCGGCACGCCCGGCGGGGCGGCCAGGTGTGCCCCGCGGCTCTCGGCGTCTTAGCCAGCCTGGGAAGCCCAGCCAGCCATCTCGCCGCTCCCCGCAAGTTGCCGCGGAAGGCGGAGACCGGCTCGTCCCCGTCCCCGAAGTCGCCCTACGCCCCGCATCCGCCGTCTGGGTGGGGGGTGGGGGTGGCGGCGCGGCACGGATTGCAGCGCGCCGGGCGCTCCGCGTGCGCCCAGCACTGGGTTGGGAAGGGGTCGGTGGCTCCACTTCGATAGAACGTCTTCAGTACCCAGTCGTCGAGCCTGCCACTGAGGACTGTCCTCGACCCCGCGATGGCACGGACTGTCGGCCTGGCCCGTGCGCACCCCGCCGAGACAGTCCCGCTAGACCGGCTCCCTGGCCGCCAGCAGAGCTCGCTGCCAGCAACGATTAATAAGACACACACACCCCGCGAGTGTGGTGGGAAGTTGACTTGGGTCCCCAGGACAATGGTTCTTAACCTCCCACGCCGCAGAAGCGGGAATAAAGCTGCCTAACAAGCCTGCTGCAGCCTCCACTTTTTTTTAAAAGCCTTTTTTAAAAGGGCTTTATTATGCTTGCTTGGACAACCCGACGTTTGTTTGTTTGCTTGCTTTAAAACATTTCAACCAAATCCTTATTTGTTTCGAAAAGCGTTGGATTAGCATTTAACACTTCACTGGTCACTAAAGCCCCGCAGTGCCCCAGTCCCAACACAACCTTGGCTAAAAGACCAGCAGGCAAACAGGCGGGCTCTTTAAAATGGTAAATAAATGCCACCCACCGCCTAAAAGGAGGGGGGGGGCTGTCCGAAGCGAACTCGGGCCCCAATGAGTTTGGAGGGAATAAGGGGAAAAGTCAGCCTAAGTTTTCTTAACGCTAGCTCGAGGACCCGGGCGTCTCGAACGAGGTCTTTTGTGTGTGCTAATTGCGCCATTTGTGCGCGAAAGTCCCGACGCGAAGTGTGAACTCTGAACAAAAGGAAACAGGAGACGACAGAAGTGCCCTGGTTTGGGTGCCCCGCGCCCCGCCGCCGCCGCCTCCTCTTCTTGCTCCTTCCTCCCTCCGAGCCCGCAGTTGCAGCTTGTTTGCACTGGGGCTTATCCGGAGCGGAAATTCCTTTCCGTTTTTGTGAATGACAAACTCATTAACAATTCATCAACACAACCTGTTCCAGCCGGCCCGTCCCCACGGCAACAGCCACTTCCGCAGCGCGCTCATTGGCTGGCTCGGAGAATGTATCCATTGAGACGCTCGCTGTTTGTATCCATTGAGGAGCTCCCTCGCGCTGGGGGTGTGCGAAGGCTGGGACTGGGGGACACTGAGCGAATTGCGGCTTTCACAATCCTCGGAGAGAGGCTCCCGGGTGGATTTGAGGTGTGCAGCCTTGGAGGGAGGGATTAGGAGCCCCTGGACTTCTTTCTTCCTCCCTTCTCAGTAGCTCGGAGTCCGAATTCATTGGATCTCATTCACTGGGGAGGAACCAAACTGTCTGGGCAACTCCGTTCGCAGAGATCCATAGACACCGCGAGCGGCTGCAGCTCCGCCCGGAGGACCGCGGGCGTCCCTTCGGTCTCGCTTTCTCCACCCGCGGGAACGGCGAGGCGGAACCGAACTCCGCTCCTGAAGCGGCGGCTTCGCGCGGGCGCTCGGCCTATGCCTGCCCCGAGGGGCGTCTGCTAGGCACCCCGCCTTCGTCCGCAGCTCGACCCCCATGATAGATACGCTCAGACCCGCGCCCTTCGCGTCCGACATGGCGATCAGCAAGACGGTGGCGTGGCTCAACGAGCAGCTGGAGCTGGGCAACGAGCGGTTGCTGCTGATGGACTGCCGGCCGCAGGAGCTCTACGAGTCGTCTCACATCGAGACGGCCATCAACGTGGCCATCCCGGGCATCATGCTCCGGCGCCTGCAGAAGGGCAACCTGCCCGTGCGCGCGCTCTTCACGAGCGGCGAGGACCGCGACCGCTTCACCCGGCGCTGTGGCACCGACACCGTGGTGCTCTACGACGAGAGCAGCAGCGACTGGAACGAGAACACTGGCGGCGAGTCGGTGCTCGGGCTGCTGCTCAAGAAGCTGAAGGACGAGGGCTGCCGGGCGTTCTACCTGGAAGGTACGCTCCTGGGGCTTGGCGCGCCGGGCTGGCCGGGCTGGGGCCGAGGGGCGGCGGGTCACCGGGACTCGAAAATGCCCCGGCCACGCTGTGGCACCGGCTGGGCCCGCGAACCGCATGCGGGTCGCCCTCGCGAGCTGGCCAGCCGCAGAAGCCGCCAGCTTCCGGGCGCCTGCACGGGCCGTTCCTTCCCAAAGAATTCTCTGGCTTTGTACCCGAGATACAGTTTCTTTTCTTCTACTTATCTACTAGTAGATTTTGACTTCAAATTGACAAAGCCGGGGAGGTCCTTTGGGTGCAGATGGGCACTGCTGAGTCCCTTAAAATATCCGCGAAAGTTGCCATTTTGTGCGTTTCTGGATCTACAAGAATAAGGGTTCCTAGCGGGGGAAGCCGTGGTCCGATCTGTGGGTGCCGCTCGGGGTGGGGGTGGGGGCTGCACATTTCCAGTGTGATTCTTGGTTCTGCGTGCAGGGGTGGAGGGTGGGGGTTGCACGGGGCTCGTAGGGTTTCCTGCTCCGGACTGCGGATCTCACAAGCTGTGAAAATTACTACAGGATCTCGGGTTACACTCTTGCTTTTCTCGCCCTGGCAGGTGGCTTCAGTAAGTTCCAAGCCGAGTTCGCCCTGCACTGCGAGACCAATCTAGACGGCTCGTGTAGCAGCAGCTCACCGCCCTTGCCGGTGCTGGGACTCGGAGGCCTGCGGATCAGCTCCGATTCCTCCTCGGACATTGAGTCTGACCTTGATCGAGACCCCAATAGTGCCACAGATTCGGACGGCAGCCCGCTGACCAACAGCCAGCCTTCCTTCCCCGTGGAGATCTTACCCTTCCTGTACCTGGGCTGTGCCAAGGACTCCACCAACCTGGACGTGTTGGAGGAGTTCGGCATCAAGTACATCTTGAATGTCACCCCCAATTTACCGAATCTCTTTGAGAACGCAGGAGAGTTTAAATACAAGCAGATACCCATCTCGGACCACTGGAGCCAAAACCTGTCCCAGTTTTTCCCTGAGGCCATTTCTTTCATAGGTGAGGCTAATGAACACTTCCGCTCGGACTTTCAAATGCAAAACTCCCAGCCATTCATAGTTTAAGCATTTAATTGTTCTTGCCTATTTGTTAATTGGGAGGGCTTCAGGTCTCTAAATAAGAGGGCGGTCTCAATACTGGTTTATTTCTCGCAGTGGGAAGTGCCTTTTGACCTGGTTACAGACCATGAGTGCCATTGAAATGCTGTCTAGTTCCCTGAATTTAAAAGGGGGAGAGGGTGACTTTGACCGTCAGACACAATTTTCCTACATTTCAGGAGAAGTATTTTCTGGACTGGGGAGTTATTTTAGGACATCAAGTTAATTGTTGGAAGGGCTTGAATGCTCAATGTCCAGCTGAATGATACTGTGATACCAGTAACAGTGAGAAGGTGCCTGTAACGTGAACCAGGCAGGAAGACCTGTGGGCTGGAAGCCTGGGAGAAGTGAATCTCCAGGCATTGTAATGCATTTCCTATTACAAAGGAACTCATTTTCAGGCCATGTCGACATCCTGTTCCTCCTAATGGGCTGTCCCCTGTGACTTCCCTCTCTCTTTTAAAATGCCTGAATACCTCCATTGTTAGCTGCATAACAGTTGGAGAATAATTTAATAGACCCTTGCAGTCTGCTTGTCTGTATAAAAGGCATTCACAGCCATATTGCAGGGTTTCTGGTATTCACATGCTGGGGCAAAGAATGCACACATTAAGGAGTTTTTTGTTGGCAGAAACTTAATACAAAAGCTCCTTTTTCAGAAAATATCTGAAATATGTTATTGTGCCCCAGTGAACATGTTTTATCTCAGTGATAGATTTTCTGCTGCCTGCTGGGCTCAAGTGCCACACATAGGATATATATACATGTATAGAGATGTTTTCTCATTTAGACTGAACATTCATAAAAGGTGCTTTCAGTCGACTGACATCTTACCTTTCCCCTTTTTATGTTCACAGATGAAGCCCGGGGCAAAAACTGCGGTGTCTTGGTGCATTGCTTGGCTGGCATCAGCCGCTCGGTCACCGTGACTGTGGCTTACCTTATGCAGAAGCTCAATCTGTCAATGAACGATGCTTATGACATTGTCAAGATGAAGAAATCCAACATCTCCCCCAATTTCAACTTCATGGGCCAGTTGCTGGACTTCGAGAGGACGCTGGGACTGAGCAGCCCCTGTGACAACCGGGTCCCAGCACAGCAGCTCTATTTCACCACCCCCTCTAACCAGAACGTCTACCAGGTGGACTCCCTGCAATCCACGTGAAAGCCCCCCCCCCCCTCACTGGGATGTGGCCGTTCCTTCTGCAGTTACCCTTGGCAGCATTAACTGGGCTGCTTTGTTTGTGTGTGGCCCCCCGTGTCAACATGACACCAGCTGCCTGTATTAGACAAGGTTACCAAGTATGGAATTAGTTATTATGAAGGGATAGCTTTGCTCCATTCCCTCTGGAAGAACAGAGTTCCCTATAGATACAGGCAGTACCTTTGCTCCGTAGCCAGGTGTACATCCTACCCACGCAGGGACTGGAATTCAAGGACTTCCAGGTTTATCGGGTAGGACCAAGTGGTGTAGGGTCGGAGTCCGGTTCTTAGGGCCTTGTTTCCTTTGCCCCTGGAACTATTACTGTCTTCAGTGAAGACCAATTCAATTTTTTGCATATAGAGGAGCCAAAGACAGGTTTCAGCTCTGTATTTGTAGAATCAATTTGCAAAACAAAATCTGATACTACACTTGATGACTGTAAATATTTGATCTTTAAATCACTTGACGGTGTTTGTGTGAATTGTTTTGTTTTTTCTTTGATGGGTTTGTAATTGTCCAAAGGAAGAAAGTAAAGTATGCCACTTCTTAAAAACAAAGTATTTGCTCTTTTCTACTTGAATTGAGTATCTCTGCAGCATGCTCAGTTTTACTGTACCAACTTTGAATGACCTTTTCATGGACAATATTCACTAACACCTTGTTCTGGTGCAGTCCCTAGTCTTCATGTGTCTTCCTTGTGATTCTTTGCCCCCCAACCTCCCTGCCCCCGCCCCCATTGAGTGTGACTATGCCTTATCTTTGTAAATAGTTTGACTTCTGTTGTCTCAAAGGGGAACTCTTGGAAAGACACCAAAATCATGGGCTCACTTTTGTTTTTTTAAACTTCGGCTGTGCTAAACACCCTTTGACCTCTGTCCAAAATGCTTCAGGGAGCGTCACCTCAAATGCAATACTTTGAGTTGGTTTCTTTCCTTTTTAAAAAAAGAAATTTGTATAAAACTGGAAGTGTGTGTGTGAGCATGGGTACCCACTTGATAGTGTCATGCAAATGATTGTGAAGAAGGGAGAAGTAAATTGCTCCATTATGTTCATGGTGTAGAGTTTTGAGCTGGAATTTATTATGAATGTAAAACCTTAAATTATTAATAAATAACTATTTTGGCTATCAAATGGATTTTTTTTCCGGTACATTCTAAATCTTTCCCTAACTGTACACAAAGCACAATACCTTTTAAGAGAAATTTTTTAGTGAACTTGATACCGGCTTGTAATGTCAGTGTAGAAGGGAGCAGAGAAAAGTTATAATTTTTAAAGCTATGCCTAGAATTTTCCAGGTGTACTTAGATAATTAATCTTTTGCATAACAAATAGCATCATAGACTGGTCATGCTGCATCCGTGTGTGTGTGTGTGTGTGTGTGTGTGTGTGTGTATGTGTAGAATAGTCTTTGTAAATAGGATGCCAGCTTGTTCATTAAAATTGTAACCTAGATCCCACTGCTATGGAATCAGATGACTCATAGTGGCCCTATAGGACTGAGAGGAATGGCCCCTTCGGGTTCCCAAGGCTCTAATGGTAGCAGACTGCTACATCGTATCTTTCTCCCACAAGGGGGCTGGAACCACCAACTCCCTGACTAGCAGCTGAGCACAAAGGATGCCAAAGAACATACTTCACCAAGGTATAAGGTCACAGTGATTATGAATCAAGAGAGGCGCACCAGAATGACAAGGAGACCCTGGGTGGCATGAATGAAAAAGTGACCAGCTACTACACGACCTCAGGGTCTGACGGTTGGAGGGGTGCTGTGGAACACACAGTTGATCTGCTTCTGGAAGGTCACAGCCTTGATCTATGGAGCAAATTTATAAGTTGGAATTGATTATAACAACCCAGATGTTTCCTTCCTTGTCAGTCTTACAAAATAATGCTTAAAAATGCCAGCGGGGAGGTGGGGGTAAGTTGGCAGTCTTTTCACTGTCTGGAAATTCTACATGTAAATTTCTCTAGCACCCGCATAACAAATCCCAAATGTTTGCTCCAATCCCCACACTAGGTGTGTTTAGGCTCTAGCTGAGCTTGAATATGGCTTTAAGTTTCGATTCATCCACAGAGTGGCTTCAGGGGAAACTTCTGCCATCCTGTTTTTTTTCCCCCCTGCCATTCTGTTTTAATGTTCTTTATGCCCAGCTGGTTTCTAATGTGGGCCTGAAACCTCTATGGAAACCTAGAGAGTGGATATTTTTGTATAGCTTCTTTCAAAATAAAGGCTTAAAATTCTGTGAGTTTTCCCTGGGACCTCCCCTCTCCTTGCCTTGTGTAACCTAGTAAACAAATCAAAAGTATGGAGTCAAAAGAATTGGAACATACCCTACCTCACCTATATTTTACCTGAAATGGAAAATGAACTTTTTACTCACATGCGAAATAAGAGATTTTGGGGTAATCTGCATGTAAGAAGGAAGTGACCCACACATTAAGACAATCGAGTCAAACCGGCCAATGTGATTTTTAGCAACAAAGTATTTTAGCTTTAACTTTTAACAAGTTAAAGGAGCCCTGGTCTGCCCTAGTGAGTCAGTGGTTCAAAACCACAGGCGCTCCAGGAGAGAGAGACATGGCAGTGTTTCCAGAAAGATGTACAGTTTTGGAAACCATATAGGGCAGTTCTCTGTTCTATATGGCTACCGCAAATCGGAATTGATACAGTGGAACTAGGGTTGGGTTGGGTTTGGGTTTAACTATAGATAAAAGGCGAACGGAAGCAGTGCAGAATAGTATCAAGTGAGCGTCTCCTGTTCAGGTGCCTCAAGTCAGCAGGAACTAAGAAAGGAGAAGCGGGTTGCCAGCCGACTTGGCTCGAGTTAATCCAGCCCTGAACGGTTTCCGCTCCTGGCATTCCTTAAACTGTCGGTTCAAAGTAGGGACTTGCAAGCAGTGTTAGCAATTTCCTGTCCAGCTGCAGCTCAAGTAGCTCTGCGCCCCCCCGCCCCCCTTTTTCTCTTTTTCTTTCTTTCTTTCTTCTTCTTTTTTAAAAAATATGGAGTGTGGATAATTTTAGTGCATTTCCTTTTTGTGGATTACCATCTCTTTTCCTCCTCCAATCTGCATACATCGAGTTCCTGCTGCTGAGCCCAAACCGACAGCTGGCTTCCCCAGCACTTCCTCTCGCTTCACTGTGGCTTGGTTGTTTGTCAGTCCACTTCTGAAATTAATAATGTTTTCTGGCCAAGTGCCATAAGCCATTACCACAAAGGGGAAGTAACACATATGAATAGCAGGAAGCCATGCAGGGTCACAGTGTGAGCTGAACCTGTGGAGGGAGCATAATTGAGCCCGGCCCATTCAGCCCGTGTCCGACTGCGATTTGGGGGAGAGCCTGCTGCAGTGAAACTGCTCAAGCTGGGGCGGGGGGCGGGGAGTTTCCAATAAATTGGTAGCAAATGGTCTTTGTCACCAGCTGAATAAAAGAGAGGGAGCAAGAAGCGTTGGGAGCCTCCATAAAGTTGCAACGTTTGGGGTTTCTCCCACCCTCTCCTGGCACATTGTTTCATACGGCCTGCTTTCCTCCGTTCCCATCAAAGAACTCATGTTCCATGGGTGGTTTTGTGCACACAGGTCGGAAGATTCAAAGCTCTATTCTCTTTCTTCGGGTGGAAGGTTGTAACTGACAGCATGCCACTGCCACCCCCACCCCCACTGTCTCCTGGTCATTCCGCCGCTCCTCTGGTGCCTTTGTGTTTGCAGGCGCTGAGTGAAGGCGATCATTTTGCATCTTGGAGTTGCGCTCCCTTCTGAATGGAGCCTGCCCGGTTACTAGGGCAACCTTTCCCAGCAGCAGCTGCTCCGTGGCCTCCCTCCTCACCTGCTGTCCCCATTAGTGGCTTCCTCGGGTCTCTGAGAAAGCATTACCTTTCCTGGCTTTCGACTGGGAGGTAGGGGGCTTTCAGGAGAGGAGGCTGTCTGCTGGGTCGGGCCTGGGAGGGAGGTAATAAGGTTGAGGAATGTACTGGGTCATGGTATGAATACGCTTTAGAATGAAATTTGGGACTAGGAAAGGTTATTTTGGTCTAGAAAATACCAACAGTCTTCAAAGGGGTCAAAATGGAGACTCGGTCTAACGTTGCTATTAGGGGCCCTCAAGTAGACCCTCCTCCGTACTCCCTGCTGAGTGGAGGGACCCCACAGCAAGGCACCACTCCTATTTTCTTTGTTCCTTCTTCCTCTAAGACTCCAGTCATTCCCGCCTTCTGGGCTTGGTCAGGGGCTGGGGTCCCTCCTCGTGTAAATGGTTCGAACCCTATCCCCCAGGCCCATTGATGTGCTTCCAGAAGGTCCCAGCGTTGAGGAGCCTGTGGAGCAGATTTACTGGGCACACATGGGGCCCCTATGAGTCAGAATTGGCTCTAAGGCAAGTGGCTTTGGGGGGCGGGTTTAGTTTTGATTAGAGTTCCGATGAACCGATGAGGGACAGCGAGAGTCAAATCACACAGCTGACCTCAAGGCGAGCAGGTACTGCAGTTCAGGTACGATATCATCTCCTTGAATGGTCTAAGTCACTGGGAGGGAGATGCTGGCAGAGAGGAAAGCAAGCAGGGAGAAGTCAGTATCTTGCTTAACATCTTCAGCTCAGAGGAAAATGCTAGATCCCGGCTCTGTTTGAACCCAAATGTTCTGGCTCCCAAGCCAGATCTGGTTAATCATCGATGGAGAAGAAAACCCAAACCGCCCCTATTCTGATGTATTTAGTGGTTCCTGTTGTAAACTGCTTGTCATCGTAATTTGCTCCGCTTGATAAAGCCCCGTGATGTTGGCTAGGAAGTGGTGACCCCGTTTTGCAGCAGAGGAAGTGGAGGAAGCAGAGGTTAAGTGACTTGCCAAATCAAACCCAAATTCAGCAGCCAAAACATAAGAGAACCAGCGGGCCCCAGATGGTGTGCTGTCAGACAGGTGCCCCTCCATCTGGAAGCTTCCATCCTCCCTCTCCACTGAGAGGCTTGCCCTATCTTGGGCCCACGAGAGCATAAAGCACAGACCTGATTTTCCTCAGGATCTCTGTGTCTCCCAGCAGCTGTCCGGCAGGACTCGGCCCTTGGCTGCACTCCCATTGCACCACGGAATTTCACTTCCTCACTCTGCTCCCTCTTTCAAAGGGGACTCTCGGTGGAGGTCTTCTGGGGAACACACACCAGCCAGGCAGCAAAGAAACCAGTAATGGGAGGAAGGCAGGACAGAGCGAGGGCCAATCGTGGGGTGCTGGCTACAAGTAAATAATCATAAAAAGTTGCTTAAAAGACGTCAATCTTCAGGCCTATAACTCCTTCAAGGTGATTATGTTTGTGTCGATTTATCCTCAGTGCTGAACACAGCCATAATTGCTTCTCAAAAGATCCTGCAAGGCTTTCAATTGTGTTACTCCTCTTGTATTCTTAGTGGTAATTTAGCAATTGGCCCTAATTCAGTAGTCCAGTGTTGGTGACCAGTCCTTCAAACTTTTGGGACAGTCCAAAATTGATTTCCCAAGAGTATTTAAGGACATGGACCAATGTTCAAACAATTCACAAATATTTATCCAGATCTTGATGTGCAGTGTACTGGTTCAGTGAAACAGTTAAAATAAAAGGCAACCGAAGACTTGAACCAAAGTCCCCTAAGCAAACCCACTGTTGTCCAGTGGAGCCCAGCTCACAGGAGCCTTGAAGAGGACCCCGTACAGGCAATGTTGCATTTCCAAGTACAGCCCATAGAGCCTTATGTCAGGGTCCCAAATCGAAGCAGAAACTCCGGGAACTGTTGGGCATGTCCTTGCACGTCCCTGTACCCTGAATCTTCCCACTAATCTTTTAGAACGTAGCTTCTATTTCTCATAGTGGGAAGAATGACAGCCCACACATGGATGTACAATTCCACCCATCCACAGTTTTCTTTTTTGTGGACAAGCCTGTGTCACTGTCTGCTTACAGCCGGGACTTTTGGAGCACCCTTTGCAGAAATGAGCCCACCGATACCAGGAGAAACGATAAAGAAATACCATACACTATTTCCTAAGAACATTGCAAAACAAAAAGCAAACCTGAAAATGACCACTCCTTCTAAGGTAGAATTTTTCCTTTCCTGATTTTGGAGAAAAAGTGTTTTGTGGGTTTTTTTACACTTCATATTTCTAATTT